AAAAAAAAAAAAAAAAACTAAAACTGATATATGTCAGTTTCTGAAGAGGTTAATATTGATTGGGATAAGGGTTGAAAATATTTTGAAAAAAATATTTGCATTTAAACTTTGTATCACAGTTAACGATCATTATATTAATCGTTCGAAATTTCTTTATATTTTCTTTTTATCTTTCTACTTCTTTTCCACAAGTGCGTACAGGTTATGTTATTATTTTTAATTCCAATCCGGTCGTTCTGGGAGAACGAGAAATATTGGGAGATCAATTATAAATGTGCGTGTAAAAAAAAAAAAGAAGAAGAAAACAGAAAAGTAGATTTTATTGGCATCGATTCTCGATGCGATGGAAGTCGTCGATTCCAGGAAGGAAAGAAGCCACCAGCACCACACTTAAGCTTCTCCCATGCGACGGTGGGGGTAATCGGTACTTACTGTTCTTCTTATACAGCAGGATCTCGAATTGATCGTGAATCTGGCCCTCGAGGCATTCCTCGATCCTGGCGATCGTCTCTTTGTCCGTCAACTCCCCGTACATGAATCCGCAGCGGCAGGACTTTTGCATAACCTAACGGCAAATTCGACACTTTTCATCCAGCGAATTCTCCCTCCTCGAGATTTGTAAGAAGATCAATTGTAAGAGATCTGAAAGTTGCTCGGGCAGCAACTTCTCCAAGATTTTGGATAAAATCTTTATAACAAGCTATTATTATCCTCCGATCTCGAATGATTTTTAAAACGTGACGTCATCAATCATCAGTCAGGTTAGGCGAGACATTAGTTGTAATATAAACCATTGAAACTTAGGAGGAATTGGATGAATTTTTGTTCGAGCAATTAATTTTAATTTCGCTTCGAAATAGACGATTCAATCATCTTGATCCTAATTTAAACCGTCTCGAAGAAGCATTGGTAACTTTTTAACGAGCATCGACACAATCGAGTGAAAAAATTTTCACAAGTATGGTAAGTTGAAAAAAAAAATCATCGAGATCAGGAAATGATATCTTTTTATAAATAATTATCAAACTTTTTTTTTTTTTTTCTTAAAAAATCCGGATGACTCGAGTTTCGCTCTTTACATTTACCAATCTCTCTACAGTCTCTTCCAATGATACAGACACGTGGGAGAAAGAAATTCAATTTCATCCCTGAATTAGCACCGTCCATATCCATATTGGGAAAACAACATTGAAAAGCGTATTATTGCTCGGTTGATAAAACAGGAATTGTACACGATAGTCCGTATTGGTTCGAAACGGTTCGAACGTAACCAAGTGGATTTAATTGCGGATAAAGGTGGAACAAGAGGATAGAAAAAGTAATGGAAAGTGGTTGAATTAGGGAGAAATGGACGAGTCTTCGTGAGATTACAGACGTACTCCTCTTTTTTTTTTTTTTTTTTCCTTCGTACGAGGTTGTAATTATATTATACATAGATATTGAAATTGTGCAGACGGTTCACACCCGCGAAGATTGGTTGGTAAGGTAAAACGATAAAGATTGAAAAGGTAAACGATGGAGGGAGCAAAGCGGAAAGAGGCTTAGGGGAGGCGGAGCAGGGTATTTACCTCGGCACGATTATAGCCAGAGATTTTGCAAAAGCTTTCGTTGCAATAGACAATAGGGAAGTCGACGATCTGAGCGTTCGCCAGGAGGAAACTGCTGTCAGCTGTGAACAGAGAGAAATGGATGTTAATTTTCATCGTAATAACAATATATCCATCCGGCGTGTTGAAAATACGCCGCTGTAACTCGATTTTTAAATTTTTTCTGCAACACGGATTAAAGAAAAAATTCATCGTCAAATGACGTGTAAATAAATATTTCGTACCGTTTTTTAACCGAGAAAAAAAGCTTAAAAATTGATGCTTTCGAAGATTTATTTTATCTCAAAGAAGAATAAACACGTTAAAAAGAACGCTGCGTTTTACAACTGCGAATGTCAAAATGTTCGAATTAAATTAATGGTAAAAAATAATATTTCATTTATATTACTCGCTCGGTAATAAAGTCGCAACAACAACGATGATTTTCCGCATAACCGGTTTCCATATCCCGTGGAAATTCCAAATTCCCCTTCAGCCCGCTCGCACGGTCAGGTTTTCTCATCCACTTATTCGTTCGCGGCACACGTAACGCATTAACGAGCTTTATACCCTTATTCGAGTTTCGTCGAGCCGAGAGGGGAAAAAAAAAAGAAAAAGAAGAAAAAAAAAATTGCTCGATCGAGCTTCCATTTCGAATTCCTTCGGGATTCCCGTGTGTCGAGAGTATATTCGAGAATCGAATCCAAATCTCGAGCGACGTTTGGAAAGAAAAGATGATTGGAAACTTTTATTTTTTTCCCCTAGATAATTTGGGATCGAAAATGGAATCCCTTTGTCGAGATCGGTCGACGGATAGGGAATTTTCGATTTTACCCTGAAAAATGGCGGAGAAATTTTCTCTCGAAAAATCTCGACAACGAGATTTTCCCCCAGAAATTTGGATAGATATAAATCCATTCAGTAGTGGAACATCATTCTGTTATTCTAGGGGAAATTTTCCAAGAATCGTCGAAATCATCGAGAATCGACGATTTGTAGATTTTTTTTTTTTTTTAAGAAAACTCTGGCCAAAAATAATGGAATACCGTTCTATCGAAACTAGATATTACAACGAAAACGTTGATTTCTAGGAAAATTCTCGAAGCCAATTCTAGGGAAATTTCTGGACACATTTCCAATATCGTTCCGTCGTCGAAGTTAAGTCTCGACAATCGGAAGGGAGGAAGTATAGGAAATTTTATTTTTTCCCCGAAAAGGGAAGTAGATAAATTTCCGAAAATAGAATATCGTTTGATCGTCCACCTGTTTCTTTATTAAAACGGAACGGCTGTGTTTTTCCATCTGTTTGTCTGTGTAGAGCCAGGCCGACTGTGTTTTCCGTTACGTTTTCCTTTATTCCTCGCGTCACTGAACGCCTCCACCCACGATTCGATAATAAAAAAAAAAAAAAAAAAAAAGAAAGAAAGAAAACGCTCTCTTTCGTGACCTGCATTTTCTCGAAAATAATCCATCATGATATTCTTAATATCGATTTTTATCCGATGTATACGCACGATGGACGATCCTTTTTAAATTTCCAAACCTTTTTTTTTCAAATTTGAATCTTCCAAAAAAAAAAAAAGATAAAAATAGAATAAAAATCGTTCGTAGAAACGTCGACGTGCTTTAATCAGAGGAGATACAGAAACGAATGAAGACAGAAATCTAATCCAATCTGACTTAAGTGCGAAAGGAAAATTAAGAAAAGTCTTCGTGGAAAAAATGAAAGAGCGACGAGTATGTTCTTCGAAAGAACACGTGTGAAGGAATTCGTTATTTGATCGAATTAATAATATATAAAATGTATATTTATATATGAAACGAAAAATAAACGAGATCTAACCTAACCTAATATAATTGAGGAAACTTTTTTCTGAGAAAAAAGAATAACGAGAAAACGATATAAAATCAAATCAAACAAATAAATAAACCAGATCTTTGCCAAACCTAACCTAACTTAACCTAGCCTAACCTAATTGAGAAAAGTAATTAAGAAATGTGGAGAAAGAAAAAAGAAAGAAAGAAAGAAGGAAAGAAAGATTTTTTCAAACCGATATAATCGAAGTCAAACAAATGAAACGAAGCAAAGTGCAGGAACATGTATCTTCGTCAGAGATACGGGAAAAGAAGAAGGAGAAAATATCGTTGAAGGAGATACATTCAAAAATTGTTGATCTGGATTTTTGGACACTAATGGACACGAATGAGGGAGGATAGAAAAAGGTCGGTAATTTTGCCTCGTTTCGTGGCATAATCCCACGAGCCAAGCCAGGCGAATGGACAAGGGAATTATGAAATTTCCAACGTTCCTTTTTCATGCACGTGCACGCGTGTTGGGAATTCCCGAATTCCTGTTTAACACCGGGCCGCTCTTTTCACCGACTCCCCCTTAATTAAATTCGATTAGTTTTTTTCTTTTTTTTTTCGTCGCGTCCATCCTCCTCTTCCACCACTCCTCGCAATTCCATTCGAGCATCCTTGAATATCTCAAATTTACCACTTTTTTTTTATCACCAGTTTCACTGTTTGCCGAATCCAAGGAGGGCGTCGAGATAAAAAAAAAAGTAATTTTTTTCCAGGCGGAGATTCTTCTAATTATTCCTTCGATTCTTGCCAATTCCAACTCGTGCACCCAACTCGTGAATGATGTTTGCCACTTTTTTGTCATATTCGGGAACTCGTTTGTCGAATTAAGCACGACGAAAAATAACGATGAGAAGAGAATTTTTGCTCTTCGATTATTTTCTAATTTCAAGACTTTTTTTTTTGAATGGAAAGTTTACTATTAACTCGTTCGCGGCATATTCCATCTTTAGAAAATTTACTTTCAAAGGCGAAAAAACTGGAATTGCAATTACGAATAAACAATAACGTGAATAATCACTCAACCTTCGCTTTCAATTCCTGAAAATTTTCTTTCAAAGGTGAAAGAAT